AAAATTCCTTGCATAATTATTTCTACGAAATTAATAAAAACACCTAATTAATGAAAAAAAATTATTTCTTTCAACTAATCCATGAGCTTATTTCGATTTCTAGCATTCGAAAAAGATATTTATCAAGTTAAGAATACTCTGAAGAATTAGATATTTTCAATTCGAGAAGAAATGAAGTGATTATAATTAACCATGTGATTTAAATAAATTAATTGCGTACGTGTAAGCGACGCCATGCATGTGTGTCTAACCTGATCGGCTTGTTGAATTAACAAATGCCACGATTTACCTTCTGTGACATCAGTTGCAAACATCCGATTATAGTTTTTCAACATCGAAATCAGTTTTTTAATGTAAGTATAAAGTCATGAAGAGTCGTTTGCTGAAATTTTTTTTTTCTTCCTTGGTTTAAACTACGGGCCATTTTTTTATTCCATTGGAATAGAATGAAGCACCCTAAAACAATTTTTGTGGTAAAAAAACTTTTCTAATATAATTTTTACAAATATTGTTTTAAATTTTGTAGTAACACGCGCGAATAATAACTATCCTTAAAATGAAGATTCGACAATCACCACTGCACTTAGTTGAGTTGAAAAATTAGCATTATTAGCATTAAAAAATTACCGTTTTGGACAACCTATAATTAAGTGAAAGTTTACAATAGTATAATAAACTGAAAAATGCTCTCATATGATTAGCTACATATAAAAGATATCTAAACGCATTAGATACTTTCGTTGTTTGTATAGTACAATTAATAAATAGTAAATATTACAAATATTCATTTTCATGTTAGAAATGTATAAAACAGATTAATTAATCTCCATATTACTTTAAATATTAGTAAATTTTAATAAAAAAAACTAAATATTCTAGATACATGTATTATAAATATTATATTATAAATATTATATTATCAAAACTAATATTATAAATTGATATTTAGCTATTGAATTCTTCGAAGGCCAAGTCAAACCCAAAGAATTTTAAGGAAATTGAAATTCCCGTATTGACCTTCGAAGGATGCTTAAACTTCGAGTACTGTGAAACTATGTATCTCAACAAATATAACAGACAACGGCATGACATTTGAGATATGAATAAAGCAAATAATTACCATAGCATCGCTTCAAGTGCTTTTTAACGTAAATTACTAGAGTATGAATTTTGAACTATTAAACTATGTCAGGGAAGTTTTACAATTTTAACTGTTTTTTTTTTCTTTTTTTTTTGTTAAATGAGAATGTGTAGTGGAAATAATACAAAGATGCATAATTTTCAATTATTTCAAAAATTGGACGCAACAGATTTTTTTAACGTTTAGTTTATCGATAAATTGCGTACTTTTTTAATTGATTAAAAAAATTAATTTAAAAATGTTGCCTTTAAGCCCTTAAATGGTACAATACCAATTTTCGCGAGAAACTTCTTATGCTTATTAATTAGTTTACTGCACAAAAAATAAAAAACAAGTACGTGTATTTCAAAACAATAATAAATAAATATGATCTTTTAATGATGTGTTAATAAGAATGGTAAACTTTAAAAATAAACAACAGCTTAAAAATCCCAAAGGAATGCATGCTTAAAAATATCAAAAATCTGCCCTGATCCTCTTACTCCTAAATAATAATAATGATAAGGGAATCAAATGATCGACACTACTCCAGAGAAATCGAAGTGCAAAAAAAAAAATGGGTTGTAATAAAGCAGTCCATCGACTTGTTAGGGTCTGCTCGATCGTGTTCGCGCCCAATCATTCAATATTGTTGGGGTACGCTTCAGTCTGTTGATGATTCATTTCATTACAAGAATTTCGTAGGGGTCGGCAACAAAAGGGGGGTCTTATAGTACTCTGGTAGTACGCTTATTTCTATTCACCCACTGAGTTGCAGCCAGTTAAGTTCTTCGACCTCTTCTGGAATTTTCTCTCGCAGTCAATTTTTCTTTTAAATTCCGCTGTTCCTAAAGTGATTCTGTTTTTCCTGATTTAGCTTGCAAATAACCAAAGCAATAACAATATATAGAGCACATAAAGATTACGGTAAACTTATATTGCAATTTAACTAAACATAAATTTTGAGAGCTTAAAATGATTGTTTAAATATTTTGATATCTATTCAACGATGTTTAAAATAAATTAGCTATCTTGACCGTAGGCTCGTGATAATAAGCTAGAAATCTCTCCTCCCGCTAAATATTGATAGAACAGTAATCAGAATTTGTGTATCTAAATAGATTACGTATTTAGATTGTTCGCAAATCTATTTAAAAAAATTAAAGTTCGGTTGCAAATCGGTTGATATTGTAACTGTAATATATTTACCTTTTTTTAAACTATTGTACTATCTAAATTGAGCTTTTAACTTTTTTACCACCATTACAAATTCTTTTCAAATTGTATTTTTTTTTTAAAAAAAATACACAGAAGAAATGAACACTTTATAAATATTAATAAAACTCGAAACATTTTCCAGCCATCTGAAATATTTCATTGAAGGCTTAAATCTAATTTAAATAATTGCTACATGAAGAATGTTTTTACAAAATGTTTAACATCCAGAACAAAAATTTTTAATTATAATTAAGCAATGAACTTTAATTTATAATTATTATTTTTTTTTTGTAAATTAATAATATTTTTAGTATTTTGAATTCATAAAAAGTAAAAGTTAAATATTCGGTATTATAAGTTAAAAATCCAACTATAAAAGAACTATAATGTTAATCAGAATTTATCCAATACAATGAAGATCATCGCCGATTTTCCAGTTTACGTTTATTCCCAAACTAGTTTTCCTTTCGTATAGTCAATACATTCTTATGCAAAATATTACACTGGGGTAAAAATTATTGTTTATTCAGTTAAAACTATTGAAAATTCGAGAAACATTTCCTTTTGTATAATTTAAATAGTTATGTGAAATAGTTTCAAATCCACTTGAAAGATAGGAATGATTTAATAGTTATACATTGTTTCGTTGCTGCTCAGATTTATTACCACATCACGAAAAATTTCATTTACGTTACAGGAAAAAAAAAAAATATTCTCTTTCTCCCCCTCAAAAAAAATTTAAGAAATGTAGTATAATTTCTATGTATTCCAAAAAAAATTGAAGAAACGTAGTATAATTTCTAAGTATTCCAAAAAAATGGAAGAAACGTAGTATAATTTCTATGTATTTCAAAAAAAATTGATGAAACGTAGTATAATTTCTATGTATTCCAGAAAAATTGAAGAAAAGTAGTATAATTTCCATGTATTCCAAAAAAATTGAAGAAACGTAGTATAATTTCTATGTATTCCAAAAAAATTGAAGAGACGTAGTATAGATTCTATGTATTCAAAAAAAAAATTATGATGTAATATTGACAATGTAACATTTTAATATTACATGAATTCTTTTAATACGGTATTATTTGATTAAAAACTTCCTTCGCTTCAAAAATATACAAAGTGGAAATAACAGTCGAAATGTTTTAAGCGATCAAAAATTGTCCCCCATTTTCAAGACTTGCCAAGCGTTAATGAGACGAATCAAATTATTTAATTTTTGGTAAGTTTTATTTCAAACTATTTTATAGTATTTAATGGTGGTTGAAACTGTAATCTTTGCAAAGCCTTAAATAACATTCGTTACAAATAATTTTAATGAACACTAAGAAACTTTTTACTGCGTTTAATACTGTGTAAAACTAGTAGGAGTAACGCAGTTGAATTGCAATCATCGCAGATGATCGAAATTGTTGAAAGAGTTCTGATAAGATGTCCTTTCATTACTTTAACTGTGAGCTTTATTGAGTAGACTTTTGTAGTGATTTTTCAATTGTTGTATTGTCGTTTTTCTCTAGAATATTGGTTTTCATCTTCAATAGATAGATAGCGGCAAAATATTATTCGTACCATAGCACTTGAAACGATTTTGCTATGTTTTTGAAACATTATTAACAATGCAAATGAATAGGTGGATATAGAAAAGTGGACATTTATAGGTTTAATGGATTTAAATAACAACGTTTTTCGGATTTATTAAAATACCATTGCACATCGCAAATGATTCTAAGGTCTTAAGTTTCGCATTAGTTCTTGTTTCCGCGATAGTTTATACTGTATGGGTGCCTTTCAAGCCCATGAGTTAACAGAAACCTGTTCACCGAAGCTAAATTAGATAAAAATTACTTTCCAAAGATGAAAAAGTTAAATTATAGTTTAACAACTATACTTAGCCATATTTAAATGCAATTAAAATGAGTCTTACAAGTCTAATGCTGATAAAACTAATCTGACGCACATTCTATTATTCTAATATATGCTATAAAATCAATCTAATATAATTCTTCTTTAATAAATTAAAAGGTATTCACTCAACTTTTTTAAAAGACTTCGTATCGGTCTGAAGAAATACACATTTTTAGGACTTCAAAAAGCTCTAAATCCAATATTCTAATGAATTATATTGAAATCAATATTGACCTAAACTATCATTTGATGCAGGTGAAGAAAAAAGTTTTCTTATTTCTACAAAAATGTTTCTTTGAAGATGAATTTTTCTACACATGACGGGAGAATTATTGTTATTTATATTATCTGTAATGTACTGTGAATCAATCTTTTTCTTTCAGCACTTAAAAACGTTCAAAATAGATCATTCTCGCTCTAAATACCATTAAAACAATAGAAAAAGAAACTAGGTAAGTCAAAGTAAAAATATGTCCAATAGAGATTATATATGTTATATCAGCTGCAGACAACTTCTTTTCCATACAAAAATTTAAAAAACTTTTTTTTTAGAATGGCAGATGAATAACCCGAAAAAAATTTATTTAACTTTAAATTAATGAAATGAAGTATCTCTTTAAAACTATATAGATTTACGTAAAATTAAGAATAGAAAAATACTGCTTCCTTTTATCAAAAATCTCACCAAATTAAAATAACTAGAAAGTGAAAGAATTCAATTTTATAAACAACTAGTAAAAAAGAAAATTGAACTTACCAATTATCAATTGACCGATAATGGTTATCTTTTAGACGAAGGGGGTTGTTCTCGAAGTTTTTGGTAAAGTTCGGACTGGATTTTGACGGTCTAACACACCCCTCTTTATAAGCAATCATTTCCCTGGCTTACGCGCGCGTATTGAGATGAAGCCATCCCATTGGCCGATCGAGACGAGCCCCCTCATGACGTGAAATCGCGTGTTTTATAATGATTGCGTCATCATTTACCCCCCTCTTAACAATATAATTTTTTATATGACTGAAGGGAGGTTTTTGCGTGTTTCTCAGAAAAGCTCGTATTAAGTCTAATATGAAGGGAAAAAGCGGTAATTAGCTTGGCTCGAGAATTGCTTTGAGGTCACAGTTCTGACTCAATATATGACTAACTCTTGATTTTACAGTTTAGTGTTTTGATCGCTGTTAATGAAAAATATTGTATAATATTCAACATAATAATAAAGAAGAACCCAAAAGTTTTTAAAAAAAAGGTTCAATTTGGAAAAGATGAAGGGATCTTTTTAGTTTATGCTAGCTTATGAAAGATAAAAAATTTAAAACAAAATTATATAAAGACATTTTTAAATTTAAAGACGAAAAATTTAAAAATAGAGTTTAAAAGATGTATAATTGAACGGACAAGGCTAAAGCAGCTTCATAAAAAAAAGTGAAAAAATCGGAAATCGGAGTTTTTTTTTTTTTTTCAAGGGAGAAAACATTATGTATATCTAATAAATAAACAAAAAATTCTTAAGTTAGAAAAGTACTTGATGATAGTAATAAAAGTAATAATAATAATACTGACGATTCTTGTAATAATAGAAACAGAATAGTAATAATAATTATGATGATAATGATAAAATAAATAGTAATAGTGCTGTGGTTTAATAATGAGACACGTTTTCTTCTTTATTATTGTTTCTTTGTTTGTTTTTTCATTTCAACTTATACTAAAAAAATATTTATGCGCTTAATGTTTAACTTCTTTGGCAAGCGTACAATAAACCTTTTTTTAAGACAATTAGATAGAATGCCAGCTTAAGTAATTATAAGACTAGTTGCGATTGGCAAAAGTAATAACTCAAATAATGCATCTTTCCCTCTACAATAAGAGTAATTTTAATTTGATTAAGCTTATTGCAATAAACTGTTAAAAAAGGCTATTTGCTTCATTATTTTGTGCTAATTACAAACTGCTTAAAATAAATCACTCGAATTAAGCAATGAAGAATTCGAATGAGCATAATTGTATGTAGAATCACTGCAATAAAGCTTGAAAAGTGTCAAGGAGGCTGTTCAAATTATTGCCCAGGCGTATTGCAAAAAGACAGCGATTGTTTGCAAAGACGCAGATTAATCAATTTCCCCATAACATTTATACTATTTAGGTATTTATTCTAGCAAACGGCCCCGTATCAAACATTAAATAAACAATTGTAATACAACCGACTTCAATCGATAAGCGTTTCGTTTCAAGTAATCCTAAACAAAATTTAACGTACCCCCGAAGATTCGACGCAAACAGCGAAACCCGGAAAGAAAACCGGGAATTCTGTCAAATCAATTTCCCGTCTCAGTGGGGGTGGAATAATCCAATTTGACTTTTGTATGAAAGGATTATAATTAGATCTTAATTATGAGTTTTATTATACAGCTCTGTTATCTAATGCTTCCCCGCATCATAAAAGAAATGCCTTGTCAAAGTCTGTGTCATTACCCTAATCGTATGCCATCTCTTATTTCCTGTCAATTGTATACCCCTATCTCTTACCGTCATCGATAATATTTACATATTTGTATTTTATAAAGTTTATAGTAGTACACACATCTCTAATCATAGTAACTATCAGTAATTTTTAAGTTAAAATGCTTTTTAATATTTATATTAGATAATTATCTAATGAGCTCACTAATTTGTGCTCTGTTAAACATTTTAGAACATGTTACACTAAAATATTACTCAAATTTTCTTCACTATTATCGTGTTTAGTTAAACCGTACTTCCGATACTTGATTGCATTATACTTCCATTCGATTTGAACGGAAACAGGGATCAATGTAACACTATATTAAGTAGCAACAAAATGGTTTTACCCTATTATGGTCCAGGTACTGATATATATTACGATCAAATACTGTTCAAAATGAAATGTATTTTTTTGAGAACGGAAAATTTTTTTTACCCCGTGGAATGCTATTAACGTTTTCTTTTCTTAGGACAAAAATAATTATTTTAATTTTTTTAACGCACAAATGGGAAACAAATTTCACCTTTCAAATTCAAAATGCAACGTTTACAATGTAAAGTGTAGCGGACTGATCATAAAGACACGGTTCCCAGTAGAACACCGAAGTAAAGCATAACTGGCTACGGTCAGTAAGTGGTTGGATGACCACTTTGATCAACCTGTGTAGGGACCGATGGTGCGCGGTGTCAGTTCTCGTAAAACTGTTCTACGGTAAAGTGCTCGATTTCGCGACCAGGTCGTCGGAGCAGGGAAGCCATTCCTCTGCAGAGGATCAAAATTGCGATGGCATGTCTTCGGATCATCCTCAGGGATATTTCCCTGACCGTCGCCAATAGCCCATTGTTCAGGTCTAGTGCACCGTAAATAAAGTACCGACCAACCTACAATGTTAAATAACAGTAAAAAAAATCTATATGAAATGCAGCATATAGATTTCCGGGAATCTTAGTGAAAACCTTAATATTGATTAATAGATATGCATATCTTCAATTTTCAATGCAAATCTTCAATTTTGGTTATTTTACAGGTTTTGGATTATATTAACATTACATGCATAATTTTTTTACTGTTACTTTACATTGTAATTATTAAATTTTGGAACTTGAAATCTAATGACTGTAAACTAATTATATTTTAAAAACTAAATTTTTTTAAAAGAAAAATAATAAATTTACGATTTTGAGCCATAAAAGAAATGAAACTTTTGAAAATATAAAGAAATTTTTTGTAATACACCTTATTAAATATATTTTTAAAGGTGTTAATTGATTTTTAATGTGTAAACAATGACACATAAATAATATACAATGTGCAACATCTTAATAACATTATTTAGGATTTTAAACAAGTATATTCTGTATGCAAATAATGCTTAAAAAGCTTTGTGTAAGCTTTAAATTTACGTATAAAAAATACTTCAAGTGAAATTTTTCGGCTGAGTTTGATAAATAATTTAATTTAACCCATTCATTTCATATAGTACAGTATGCCCCACCTAAATAAAGCCACATAATTTTATTTCAATCTATGCAAACACTAGACTAAAAAAATTATAAAAACAAGGGTAACAAACATATAAAACACTAGAGTAAACATTATTGTAGGATCTTTATATATATACAGCATACAGTTACATAAGATGAACATAACGTACCGAAATATTGCATAAAAGGTTAAGCACTATGCATCATGTAAAACATGTGATAAACCACGCAGTTAATTTGCATGTTTTATTTGAATAACTCAGTGTTCTAAATCATACTTCTGTAAATATTAGAACACCGAGCTTCAGAAAAGAGAGCAACATTGGAAAACTCTTATATATATAAGAAAAAAACAATTCATTTTTCGATTAAAAAATGTTTCATCTAATGACCAGGCAGGAAAAAAGCTCATTTCTATACATACAACTGAGCAAAACTTGTTTTTAAACCCAAAATTTCATGCTTTTCAGAATATCTCATTAGTACTTTCTTCCTTAATTTCTGTAAGATGAAACGAATGAAGTATTCTTACTTAAAGAATTCTATTGAATAAACATAATTTCTAAAGCTATTGCCGCGACGAAAGTAGAGAAAGTAGATAATTTCAGCACCAAAGAGCTTCGATGTTATGTTAATTAATTATTAATTTAATTATTTGTTTTACGCTACACAATAAAAGTAAAAATATCCAATCTTTTCACCGTCTTTGATCCTGTTCGAGTTTTTTTGTTTCTCTAGGATTAAATCAAAAGCATAAATGAATTGCAAACAAATAATTGCACATTCCATGCATGACCTATTGTAGTGGAAAGGCGAATCCTATTAATAAGGTGTAAAAAATATATTGTTAGTATTAATATAAAAATGTAGCTTTAGCAAATAAATCATGAATAAATTACTAAGTTAATATGAAAGCAATAAGTTTAAAATCTCACGAATTAGAAATTCCAATAAAACGTTCGATTCTGCCAATTATGTTTACATGAACGCACACTGAATAAATGAGGAAAACAAACGTATATTTTGGATAGGACTCGTATGCCTTGAACGGGGTTTCATTGATATTTGTAACAAAAGTGTCAAAATCAGAGATTTCTCTTTTTTCTATAGAATTTGGGAAACAATTTTCTGCTCATTATATCGTTTATAATATGGTAAATTAAATTCCAATTTCAGAATCATTAATTTTCATAAATATATATTTAAAGCCCTTAATCCTATCTTTTCGTGAATCCATCAACAGGAATTTTTACTGATCATGAAATTTTCATATTTCATGCAATGTTGCAATTTTCTAAAACGAAAAAAGTAAATTATAACTCATTCCACAACTTAAAAGTTCGATATATTGAAAAATAACAAGTAAAAAAAGTTATAAAATTTAAAAATACATTTAAATTTCTTGTATTAGGAATAACAAGTATAGATTATTTTGTTAATAGAAAATCTTAGTTCTTGTGAATATTTGTTAAACATTTTTGACTGTTAAATTTGTCATTTTTTTCTCAAACAATAAGTTTACTTTTCAGCATAATTGTAGGTCACATTTATACTCATAAATTTTTTCATAGATATAAAGTTTTTAATATACTGTATTATAATAATGCAATGATTTGAAAAACTTGTAACAATATTGTGAATGATTTTTTTAAAAAAAGCATAAAACATTTTGAATTTTAAGAAGCAAAATATTTTAAGGATAGGAAATATACAGGCTTATTAGTTTACAAAATTTTATTACATGTTTTGAGTAAAAACCTGCTTTTATTATTGAAATATTTAAACATTACAAAGTAATTCAATCTTAATTTTATTATATTTTTATGTTTTGAAATTACATATTTAATACGTTACATGTTACAAAACATCTGTAACAAATGTTATATGTTACA